GTTGTCAAAGTAGAAATTACAATTATTTTTTACAAAATTATGTCTCAATTTTGCAAAATATTTACAAACTTCCAAATTTAGCAACTTTAGAAAAATACAGAAAATTGTGGAAAGTTTTGTACGGGATATGTTTTACGAATTCGCAATGTAAAATTCATATTTAGAAAGATTCAAATCAACAAGAAAGAACGGTAAAATTTAACATTCGCGACATGTGAAACTGGAAACATATTTCCAATGTTAAAATTCTTCAATCAGATTAAGCTTATAAATTTTTTTTCAATTACACACACACACACACATTTTGCTTCTTCAGCGTAATATATTTCCCATAGCAGTTTACTCCGCTAAAATTCAGCATTCAATATCCCCGCAATTGAGTTTTCGTTAAATAACAATCTCCGCCAAATACACCGTCAAAGAGTCCGAGATTCAAAGCAGAGGAGCGATAATTCCACGGCACTCCGTATAAATAAGCGTGCGGCGATGATGCATGGACGATATGCGCGGGAGACGTGCGCGAATAATGAATTCGGTCGATCTTCGTGAAAGTGGGAGCTATCGCGAAACCCGTCAAGGAGACGCACGATCGCCTCCTTCTCCTCGCGCTCGCTTCTTCTCTCGAAATATCTCCGTTACCGGACGAGAGCGTGTACGAGCCGCGTGGCCAAAGTCCAGAAAACTGAAACCAGAAATTCTCGCGATATTTCTGGACATGGGCGCGCGAGAATTCATGGCCGGAACGACTTTTCGTCACGCTGGAAATTAATCGAGAAATGCGAAGGTTTATCGCGTCATAAACTACACGCGAACGCTTCGCGTCGCGAATTGCGCGCACCGGCGCACAGTGTTTCCTCTTCCTCTCCTATTGTTTTTGACTAAAAGTCGGAGAAAGGAAAGCGCTTGTTCCATCCAATTAAATAATTTCTCAATTAATAATTCGTGCCTTCTGTGGCCCTGCTAGATGCAAAATATCACAGCATTTACAGAAGAAGCGCAGCAATTGAAACGTGTTTGCAACATTCCGCATAACGTTGCGTGAGAACAAGAATCCGTAAAAAAAACTGATGATAGCGATAAAGACTACAAAATGCAAAATACGCGTAAGAGCGAAAAACAATTGAAGTCAACGAGAGGAAGCGGGGGGGAGAACTATCGCGCAGACTATCGCGGCTGCGAGGAGGAGAGCGCGAGGTAGAGAGAAAGAGTGCGTTCACGCGAAGGAAAGAAAAAGAGAGCGGTGAATGACGCCGGGCGTGAATGTATCACCGCGTGCGCGTCGCGGCGCGCGTCGTTGCGCATCCGCGCTGTACGGGACAGCGTTATGCGCGAGTCACGAATCACGATTATTTCGGACGACTCTCTCTCCCCGCCGTTCTCCGCAGCCCCCTCCTCGCCCTCCTGTCACTCTTTCTCTCTCTCTCGCCCGCCGCTGCATCGACCATCTTCGTTACGCCGATGCGCGGACTAAATATATCTTTTACGGACACACAAGAGACTATCGACAGAACCGCAGAGAGCGAAACGTCGGATTACCGTTTAAAGCGCATCCTAATAACCCGCTCAAGGTCATCGAGCGAGTATTTTCGTGGTCCAAATTTCGAAGGCGGGCCTTTTTTTTTTCGAAAAACTCGCACGTGTCACAACGAACCGCGACGACTGACGTAAATCGGCAGACGTTGCAGCGCCCAAAATCGATCGCAAGGGGAGCATGCGATTGGACGTTATAATCAGCGTGCGAAAGAAACGATCAGCAGAAATGCAGGATTTCAGTGTTTGTGCGATTCTGAGGAAACCGTCGACATAATAATATCGATAGCGCGGTGATCTAGATGCGGTTTCAACGAGACCCACTCGTCTCCAAAGTAAATTTATCGCGGTGTACCGACGGGATCGTTGCTTGTTTGGCAATATATTCTCTCACTTTCTCTCTCTCTCTCTTTCTTTATGCTGTAAGGTGACGATTTTACTCGGGACGTTAATCGATCGTTCTTCTCCAATTTAAGACATTATTGCCGCAACCAGTATTTCGCTAAACAATAACTATAGTACCCAACTAAGTATAAAAATTTACGTAAGCTATGAATGTTGCTAAAATACTTATTAAAATTAAAAGTAGCAAAAAATAGTGATATTGTTTCAAGCTTTTTTGATACGGCTTGTAGAGTCTAGAAATTGAGGAAAAGGCTATAAATACACGAATCGATTTCATCGATCTACAACAATGGCAACGTACGCCTCTTGCATTAATACGCGCCGCGATTCAAGTTTCCTGTGGTATTAAAAGAAGGTACCAAGGACACCCCGAAATTCCACGTCAGAATAATATTCGACCATCGTGGAAAGAGAGAGAGAGAGAGACAAAGAGAGAGACAGAGAGATATGCGTCGACTTTCCTCAATGTCACTACGCGTCGGGCGCGAATTGTCGTCGTCCTCGTTATCGCGCTCCTGACGTCGCCGATAACGACCGAGCGCGTATGTACATACGCCGACTGCAGCGTCGGCATCGATCGTCAATAGAGCGAGATCCGCATGCACAGAGACGCCGACGGGAGAAGAGGAGGAAGAGGAGGAGGAGGAGGAAGAGGAGGAAGAGGAGGAAGAGGAGGAGGCGGCCACCGCGGCACCGTAGCTCGCTCGCTCGTTTCATTGCCGGCAGCTTGTTCGTTTCCGCTGGCCGCTTCGGCGCAGCACGCGGCGCGTAATCAAGTGGTATAAATAATTCCGACGCGCGCAGCCATGAGCCGGCCGGCCGTCCATCCGTCCGTCGCTTCGTGCGAGGCTTAATCCCCTGTTATGACACGCCAGAAATCGGGATGCCACGCCACGCATCACTGCGCGTAAACTGGAAACTGCCCGCAATTTGACTTCTCGCCCCTGATATGTGTGCCCAGTGATTTTGACTCAAGATTCGATTATGAAAATAAAAAAAAATAAAAAAAAAATAGAAAACCATTGATATCTCGATATGTCTACCGATGTCTATCTTGTATACTTTCGAATACTTCTCGAATAGCGTTCGTTAAATTGTAAATGATACGGATACAATGTTATTGTGCACGCAACTAATCTGACTTAATTTAACTGACTTGATGAGCGAGTTCGATTCGGGCCAATCGTAAACAGTATTTGAGGAAGAGTACAATACGGAATTTTCTCAACGAATACCATAGACTTGGATTAAGAGAGCTAGCTTTACACAGATAATAGCTATGAACTAGAACCTAGCAAGCCACGCTGAAAGCACAGTTACGTTAATATCGCTAGACTAATTTTGACTCGTCGGTGAAACGCGGAAGATAACGGAATGTGCTGCAGATTTTCACATCGCGTTTTTACGCTCAAGTCAAATTCAAAACGAACCAGTTGGCATTCGTACAGTTGTAACACTAATTCTACACGTTTAGTATAATAAAAATATAAATTACTTACACCTAAAAATGTATCTGAAAAATTTTATTACACCTTTTAATTCGCCAACGTTGATTGATTTTGATTGTCCACGCTTTATTCGAGATACTCCGTTTCGACGATGCTCGCAAAGTCGATGGTTTCGAAACTGTAATCGCCTGTCTATCGAAACATTACGATTAACGAGGATCGACGAATCATCGAGGTAGATTGCGGTCGTAGACTCCGCGAAATACCGGAGGGCGCCGGAACGGTACGGCACATCGCCGCCGTGTATGACTGGCCGATTCTACCGACTAACGCCCCGGATCGCGAACCGGTCATTAGTGCAACGGAACCGGTGCATCAGGGACAGAGAGAGCGCGCGGAATGTCCGCGAGCAACGCGGAGCGCGATGGACGCCCCTATTATCGGTCGCTCGACCGCCAGAATGCCGTTAGACACCGACGGTCAATCTATTGTCCTACGTGTGCGCATGCAGTTCCCCGCAGGCGTTCCCGCGAGCGCGAGAGATGCGCTCGGGCGAACGACTATCTACGTGCGCGCGAGACTTTAACCGGACGACAGAATTAGCTCGTCGCGCGTACACGGTACGAGGAAAACCCGCGGCACCCGTCCGCACGCGTTATTCGTCCCGGCTATCTCACGCGATATTATCACATTTACGTTATCGCGTACGAATATCTCGCCTTCGCGCGATCCGTTTAATTTCGTCAAAATTGTAACGTTACGAAAACAAGACGGATCCTGCGCAATCGTGGATTTGTCACGCGGAAATAAAATCATCGACGAGGGAAATAAGAATCGAGCAATTATTCGCCCTTAAGTAATTTTTTTAAGCACAGAGCACAGGAGAGACAAAGCCCAACATTTGAAATGGAATGTGAACGGAATTGAAAGGGCGGCTCAAGCTCTTCCGCTCACGCTTCAACCTACTCCGTTAACTCTCTCGCGCAATCGCCAGGAAACAGTTGATCTTATATCCGCAACACTTTCTCCGACGCGCCAATTTTCGGATTTAATCCCATTTAATTTCGACATCCCGCCGCTGTAAATCAATTAAGCAGGCGATAATAAAGGCAATGAAGCGCGATGCGTTAAATAAAAACATGACGCCCGATCGAAAAGCCTCGAGTGTAATTTCAAAGCCGCGGCTATATGAATAAACGCTCGTGTCTCTTCCACCGTCGCCATTCAATTCGAGGGAGTCGCACGGCGGTGTTGCAATGCAAACTTACGGTACGGATGCACCTGTGTGTTATGCTCCGAGAGACACGAGGCACAATTTCAATACGAACAAGCGCCTGTACGGTGCGTAATACAGTTATGACGGTCAGCAGTTTCCGGTTTCTTTGTATCTCCGAGAGGAAGATGGGCGGGAAATGTGAAATATATCGCAAACTTTCATGGCTTCTTTCTTACGGTCACACTCTATTGTTAAACACGGTTAAAATATGTCCGACACGATTTTCGCATAAAACAAACAAAAAAAAAAGCGACGGAGTGCGACATGTTGATGCGAGACTTCGCACCACGTCCGAATAATAAATTTTAATACGCTTCCAAATAAGCCAAAAATATACATACCATCATTCCAGATAATATAGTGTGGCACGAACGACGTGACAGAAGGAAGATTTCTTTTCATAGAAAAGTTTGGGCCTGTGGCCCTGACTCGGGTGGGTCCACCATTCTCCTGCAGGTCCTCCGCGTCCTTTGTGTTGTTAAGCAGACACGGAGTTTTCAAGATACAGATTTTCGAAAGATGCTATTTGGTTAAACTTTTCTTGTCATACCCGTAAATATCAACGAAACTTGAATGTCATCTTTCTTTCACTCGTCTGATGATACACGTCACTGCTCTCTTTCGCACGATTCTCCGCGTTTCTGATTCGTAACGGTATATTTTTTGACCGTCTTCAAACAATGGTAGGCTGCAGCTAACGGCTATTAAGAGCTCAACATCGTTCGACTATTTGCGAGGAAAACGTATGTCCACACGAACGCTCAATACACTTGTTCGGATCTCGATCGTGTATTCGATTCGATTATACCGTTATCTCGATGGCATCGAATGACGGCTAAACGCCACTCGAACCGCGGAAAAAGCGCGACAAACCGCACCGGAGAGTTCTCGCTTAATATATTCGTGCTCTCGCTGCCGTTAAATGTCACTCAACCCTTTTTCGTACCGCGTTCACGCTCTCAGAATGTGCACAGCGTCAATTTGCTATCGATCGTCCGTGAAATATAATGCCCATCTAACAATTTGACTAGCTATCACCGCCGACGATACACCAACAATATCGGTGTCGTTTCTGCTCGACGCGCGTCACGCACAGTCCGTGGAATTTTTCTCAACACTCGTCTTATCAGCTTTGTGCTCGAGTTACCGATCTTTCCTCACCGAGAAAGCATGGCACTTGGTTCGACATGGCCTTGGATGCCGCTAGCTATTCACTGACCTATGAACTCGCCGAGTTCTCACAGTCGGCAACGATACATATCGACGATAACGACGCGTCAGCCGCGAAAAACAATCGAAACGTCGCGACTGTTTACGCTTCTCGATGACGCACAATACAGTCTCCGATTTCTGTAAATTCCCAAGAGCAATAATCACGAAAGGTCTTTTGCCACAAGTTTACACATTCCGAAAAAATAATCGACGCGAATAAATGAAAGACCGTCTTCGTGTCTCTCGCGAAAACAGTTCTTTCGACGAATCTACAATTTCTGTTCCGTTTTAGATCCGAAAACAAACCTAAAACAGTTGAACGGTGTCTCGGAGAAAAAGCTCGCGCGTTACTGACGCTCGTGTTATCGCTTCGTATCGCATCACGACGTGGTTTCGTGCCAGAAAACGTGCCTCTCCGTGATCTTGCGGATCGCAAGCGTGGCAACGAGGTCGAGGAAATCACCGACGACGGCCGCGCGCTTCGATTTTCCCTCGTAAATCGTCAACAGGTGGTTTTCTGAACGGCGACGCGGAATACGCGGCACGGATTCTCGGCCCTCGGACGTAGCCGCGTCGCGACGTAGGACGTCGCGCGTGGGCTTCTCGCGCTGCGACTCGCCGCGCTGCTCCACGGTGAAACAGCTGATCGTTCGCGCGCGACGTCGACGCTCCTTTTCGGCGGGAAGGAAAAAGTCACCGTCGCACCGCTACACTTGCAGGTGTCCAATCGCGCTGATAATCTGTCACAAGTCCTCGCGCCTTCCCCTCGTCGTGACGAAATGGAAGAATCGTTGCAAAATTTCAATTATGCACCGCACCGCACCGCACGAAATACTGGACTGTTATAATGTCTCACTCTCGGCTCTCGCCCTTCCTCCGCCTAGCTGTCGATGTTTTGTTCGTCCGTCGCCGCCTCGCCTGTGTTTGCGCCTACCTAACTCTCGTGAGACTATTTTCGTCGTCGTGTGGTAGGAACGGCACGTTAACATGCACCGTTTCCCCCTCTACCGCATCCCGTTCTTTCCCATTTTCTTGCCTTCTGCTCGCACACCTTTTCCCCGTCTCTTCTTCTCAAAATGCCTGTCCTATTCGTGTTTCTTTCGCACGGCTTTGGATCACAGCCGTGTCTTTGTTGTCGCTGTCGTTGTCGTCCTCGTCGTCGTCCTCCCCGTTGCCCCTTTGCTCGCTCGGTTTACAGTACAGAGATCGTGCGCGCCTCCTCCCTCGCAGCAGACGCACAGCAGAAGGAGGGTGAGACGCAGGAAGGCGACCGGATTCTTTCATACGCAAACATTGGCTGACGACTCCCGTCGTGCGGCGTCTCTCGGCCCTTCGACACGCTCACGAACGAGCACAGGTAGTCGTGCTATGTTTTAACGAAAGGACACTGTCATCAATCCCGCCAAGGCACTCGCGCAGCACTTGGTCGACTCACGGCACGAGTGCGGGATAACGTTGTCGTAACTACTAATCTCGCTGTCTCTCTCTATCTCGACAGCGGTGGCACATGTACACGAGAGTCCGTGCCGTAAGAAAAAGAAAGCTCGCACAAAAAAAAGAAAGTCCAAAGAACAATAAGCCGAGCAAGCGTTCGGAAATGAAGCGCACCGAGGAGAGAAAAGAGGAGTGCAAAGACCTTGTGTGTTTGCCCTGTCGAAGACCGCGAGCGATTGACTCCCGCGCGTCCCGGTCTCTTCGTGGCCGCGGCACGCGTGAGAGAGGAACACGGGAGGGGATTCCCGCGGGAGGAGGGGGAAAAGCAGCGACGGCTGCCGCGGTAGGGCCAGGAGGGCGCACACGAGAGAAAGAGAGGTCGGAGATAGAGGGTGGGCGAGAAGGAGAGAGGGGTGAAGCGGCAGCGTGAGTGACGACGGGGGTGGCAGGGAGAAGGCGGTGAGTATGGCGCGTGCCACTACACGCTAGCAGGTGGAGTGCGCGTGCCCAGAAATCTCTATCTCTCCCTCTTCGCGTTTCCGCTCTCTTCCCTCAATTCGCCGTTACTCTTTCCTCTCGTCTTTCTTTCTCCCTCTGTCTCTCTTTTTTCGTCGCCTTCTGTCGTCTCCGTTCTATCGCGCTCGATCGCTGCGTTTTTCCGTTTTTCAGGACGTGTCGCCTTCCGTCTTCCGTCGATAGTCTTGTCTTCTTCGTTTTTACTCCTCGCGGTTAAAGCATCCGAATTGCGAGTTCTCGTTGTTTCAAGATTTCGCTTTTATCTAGAAATCGAGGACTTGACGTTAAACGCAGAACGTTTTGCAGTTTCCCGCGCGTATCATCCGGCGTATCACGCGATTATAACAGCGATACCTCGACTATAACGTCGCCGGCATGGTAATTTGAAATCGGTTCACGCGATCGAGCACGATCCCTGAATTCATAATATTTACAATTCATAGTCAGATTATTCTCGTCGCTCGATAAGAGTTGCAACGAAAATCTCGACGGCGATTATTTATGTAACCAAGTTATTGCGACAAATCTGCGATAACATCGTAGGATCTTGCGAGGTTGCGTGTCCAAAACACATATCACTTATGTTTGTGCTCGCTAAATGTTTAGAAAACAATACCTTGCAAAGTTTCGCTGCGATGATTACACGCTTGAAATTTGAAAACGATCAGATTTTATCGGCAGTCAAAATCCGCGCGGTATCAATAATCTCGCAGTTCCGGTCCAGCCTGTTAAAACAATCATCCGTTCATCACTTCGTCGAATCAATGTATCGCGCCACGTTTTACAGTCCACGAATGTACACTGATTAAATTGGTGCACTGACACGATATACGAATTTATCATTTCTCGAATGCGTTTCGATAAATTTCGCTATTGTCCCGCTCGCTAATGTCGTGTATCGCGACGGAGAAAAGATCGGTCTCGCGAGAGCTGAACCGAATGAGCGCGAATGAGCTCCAAAGTTACCGGGTTACGTCTCGCGGACGCGTCTCGTTGCAAGGCCGAGGATGCCTTCGTTACATTACGTACGAGCTGTCACGCTGCGCACGTGGTTCGCCAAGAGACGCGGAGCGACGACGTCCTCCCAGTACGAAGAACCTGACGCTCCGAGAAGCCGCCAGCCACTGACTACGTGCTTCGTGCAACCGATGCTAGGCCTGTTCCTCTTTGCGGGGAGGCACGCGCGGCTGTCGGTTACATTCGGTCAGTCTCGACTCCGCTCGTTCTCTCAGGCCAACTTGAAGCGCTTCGCCGCCGCGCCTGACTCGTTCCGATCTGTACCCGAGGCCGCATCGCCGCGCCGCCGGCCGTCTGTCCGATACCACCCAACTCTGCGACTTCTAGAACGAACCTTAGCCCCTTCTCTCTGCCCCGCAACCCTCCTCGCTCTCCTAACTACCGTGGGTGTACCGTAACTGCGTACGACCGGTGTATATCGCTCTGATAGTACAACGCTGCGAAACAGTCAGTGTACTAGGAACGCTATTTTAATCGCTTAAATTATCGTTACGGTGTTCCCAATATCGCTCACGCACGCGTCCAACTGCATTCGTCGTCCGGTTAGGCGAATAAACAACAATTTTTTTAACCTTTAAAAGTGAACACTAAGCACGTTGGGTGCAAATTTAAATTATTACACCGATCCTTTTTCCCCTTCGACTCTTCGCAGCGCATCATCGAAATAGTGTCATTCAAAGAAATGAGTTATTTTAAAACACTTGTGAGATTAATTAAACATGATCTCATAATGTCGTTATTTAAAACAGGAGAAATGTAATATTTGACGAATGCCAACACATTATAATTTTTTTTAACTTGCATAATTAAGTTAAATAAAGGGTGATACGCGAAAAGCAAGCATAGTCGCAAGAGCGACTTAAAAGCCTCCCGCGCAGCTGGTTGCGCGGAGCTTTTACACAGGCGCATTCGCGCGACACGTCGCCTGTACACTTCCAACCTCCTCCACTTCACCGTTGCGTCATCACGGCTTCGCAGTGCGCCGGGATTCAACGGGGATCGCGCGGAAGCGGGCGCGCGAACGCGGACGCGCGCGCCAGCGCGAGCGGCTGAGTGCGGCGACGACGCATCTGTACCGCTCTGCTTACACTTACTACAAATCCGTCTCAGTGGCGCTCATCCGATCAGCGGTCGATGCAGTCGGCGACCGAGACGCGAAGCGACGATGCAACGTGTCGACATATGCACGGCGCATCGTTGCGCGAGTCCATCATGAATTAGCCAGTGGCTCTCTCGCGCGGGGAAACGTCGCGCCGATGCACCATTACGGTGCGTTACGAAATAAGAGAGTACGATTAAAGAAATCCGAGTAGCATAAAAGTCGAGGCTCGTCGATGACGTTTCCCCGATGATGCTTCTCGACGTATACTTAACTCGCGGATTGAAACAAATGTTTAATTGCGCAACACGCGTGATTAGCCGCGATACGCGCGCGATTACGGCCACGTTTCATGCTAATGTAATCGATAGGAAGACGATTATTTGTCAATAGATAATTAGACGATGCGGCGCACCGCAAAGGATGCAGCGCATTGAATGGCGGATGAGTAATTGCAGCGCGAATATTACCCGCGATTGCGAGCGCCGTCATTGGTACACTCTGTAAATGAGAAGTAAAATTGGTGGATGACACGCAAACGTCCCGCAGGAACGTGACGATAATGCCGGGGCAGCGGAGGACGCCGAGGCTTTTAATTAAAAGTCCAACGCGGTGCCATAAAGGCGATCTTTCGCGGTAAGCAATGCCACCTACGCTGTTGATCAGTTTCGCTCTTTCTCTCATTTAGCTCGCAACGGCAATTCGCTCGAGTTCTCTTTTATCTTTTCCTAAACATATATTTGCATGGTAACGCGTAGCTGATTTGTTTTTAAAATTCTTTGCTGCGATCAATGTAAGCAGCAATTTACGTCCGCATTCGATTAAAACAACCGGGGGTCACATTGTTTTCGAAACAAATTGCCGATACAAATCCGATCGTCGTTGTGCCCGTCGCTCGATCTCGTCCCGCGAGTGAACGACGTATCGAAAATCGCGTTCGCGAATAAACGCGGAGGGCGGCGTATGTCGACGACGACGTAATGTAACCTCTGTTAACGTAAGATGATCTCGCGAGATAAGAAACGACATCGCATCGGCTTTCGTTGAATCCCGAGGCGAGGCGAGGCGCGCGCTCGCGAGAAAGAGAGAGGAAAGTGCCTCCTCGGCACCGAGCGAAGCGACGATTATCTCTCCGTTACTACCGTCGACCAAGTTTCTTCCTCGAAGCATTCCGCGCGACGTCGGTGCGCGTACGTGCCGAACGGCGGCCGCGAAATAAACGAGCCGAGGTATACGATCGAAGGTCGATTGTAAACATTTATGACGACGTCGCGGCTCCAGCTATCGACGTTTATGTTACAGATATACGAGCCGCGAACGGTTGAAGGCCAACTGTAAAAATACGAGCCGATCTGTGGCTGTAATAAAGATAAGTAAAAATGTACGCCCGGCTTTTTTGAAACCGAAAATAATGTAGCTAGCAAAAAGCAAGTTTCTTTCTTAAGGAAAGTCGCAGATGTTTACGCGCGATGCAACGGCAATGTGTTGAAAAAAAGTGCAATCGTATCAACGCACACACACACACAGACACATAAATCAATAATTACACGCGATCGAATGTTAAAAACTCTTAACACATCGTGAATTAAAAATGTGCAAGTTTGCCTCGCTTTTCCTACAATTTGATATGCTATATTTAATGAAAAAAGAGTAGAGCGTCTCCGTTGTTGCAACGAAATAGCAGCAATGCAGCAACGGTGTTTTTCTACGTACAGAAAGTCAATAAAAACGTCAAAAATCTGATTGGATCACGTTCCTTCCTGTGCGAGCACTCTCTCCGAAATCTGTCAGCGCGTTATCAAAAGTTCGACGCGGATTTTTACCTCGGTCGCCAACGGGATGAAACGTCCGCGGGATACAAATGTAATTTTCATAGCAAACCAAGCTTCGCGTTACTTCCGGATAGTGTACGCTCCATCGAACATATTTTCGGATCAGAAAGCCTTCTCTCGGAACCAACGGTACTGTTGAAAACAACGAATGATCCGGGGAACGAGATCGCGGGAGAGCGTCTCGTCGTTTTCCTCTTTTCCGCGTAATACTTTTCGTTCCGTTTCTGTTTCGTTCACGCAGTGCGCACATATAGTTTAAAAAATACCGAATAGAAAACACAGATCGCGGGCGAAAGAAAGGGCGAAGGCGATGGGTAGCCGATGCCGTCTCTAGCTGATTTGTGAGATCACTCGTCTTCTTTTCGCGACTTTTGCAGAATTTAACTCGTGAATTTATTATACATTGCGATCATAATTTATATAATAAATATTAATAGATTGAATAATTTTACCGACATTTTTTCGACATTATTATAAAAAACTCGTTTGAATAATCAAGCAATTAAATATTTATTTTTATATACAAAACATGGTAAATAAGTAAACGTGAAATATAATGCCGTTTCATATTTTAGTAATGAATAAAGCCTCTGAAAAACACTTAAAAAGAGTATTTGTCGATATTGTCACGCGCGGATCGTTCATAAGAAAAAAAGGTGATTAAAATAATAGTGACTAACGTAAACAGACTTGCGTCGTCGAGAACGTCGCGCAGCAAAGAAAAAAAAACTAACAAAGATTCCAAAAGAAAGTGACGACAATGGAAGGGATTGCCTCGCGTTTCTTTTCTTCCGCGGCTCGATTTCGTTCTCCTTCTCTCAGAAGATGCAGCCGTGCTCGCGTCTCGTCAATGTCTCAACCTGACGACCGATAAAATCGCGGATTGACGACATACTCGTCGAAATTTCGCAATCCGAGCGATTTCTCGTAAAAATTAGTTAATATGTAAATTATATGCAAATAAAGAAATTTTTTGTATTTGTATAAATATTTAACGCTTCAACTGCGATCAAGTAAGATGTTGCAATTATTTTTGAAAAACGGATTAAAACATGAAAAAGTGATCACGAAATTTTGGTACTAAAAGTTATAAATATATTTTATGTTTAACAGTTCAAAAAAAAAAATATGGTTTTTATTTTAGATAAATAAAATTCGGAATCAGTGGCCTTTAGAGTCACGAAGCTACGTATTTATCTCACAGTTCACTTAACCAAAATACAGGCTATCTCGAGTGTTATTATCTTGAGGAAATATCGTTTATGTTGCGGTGACAATCCTGCTAAGTCGTTGCGATGCGAGGATCGTATGTGACGTTTAAGAAACTACGGCTTAAGTCATTACGGCGCCTCATGTAATTTAATCGCAGGAAGCAATTCCAATTTTGCATGCATATCATCGTATGTTGCGCATGACAGATCATAATACGCATATTCAAGAATGTCAGTAGATTTCCTATAGATGTTTTATGTGACATACGTTCATCTATAAATAGCTGTATCGTGTAGAAAATTACCGAGAAAGGCTTATTATTAAATATTTATATAAATGCAAAAACGTTCTCTATTTGTATTGTCGATAAATTTTTCTACTGTATATAATTAGTGATTATTTGAAAAAAATTTAATTTGTTATATTCGACTCACAATAGATATCGAATACATTTTTCACCGCCATTTAAGAATATCCAAACTATTGAGAAGACAAAAAAGTGTTTGAATGAAGTAGCCTCATTTTTTAATCAAGATCAAATTGCATGAACGCATTTCTGCTTCATCTCGCTACCTCGTACTACCACTGCTCTCTGATTTATCTCGAGGCGTGCGCGTCGTAATCGCGCGATTCCAGCGAAACCTGCCGTCAGCGAATTCCTCCGGCAAACAAAGAGTCGCGTTGGTGACCAGAGAAGGACAGAGCGCGAAAAAGAAGGCCATGTGGAAACGAGTCGAAAATAAAAAGCACGTCTTCGTGATGCGAAACGCTCTTGGCTCGTTATTTTACTTAATTTTCAGGTTATTAAAAAAATATCTAACGTGAGTGAATAACAAGGAAGCAACAAGAATTTGAAAAACGGTGCAACAAATATATATAAAATTGTAAAAAAAAGAAAAAAATTACGATATTTTTAATAGTAAATAAAGTTGGGTAATAGTAAACGTTGATTTTTCGCGAATTATTTGCGAAATCTAACACAATTCGACGCTCAATTGTTGCTGTATTTAGCACTAAAAAGTAAGATATTACCAATTGAACTCGAGCGAACAAATGTTAATGAGAATCGCTGCTTAGGAATGACATCCACTACTTACTTGTTTTCATTTAGACACTTACGAGCATGTGTGAACGACGAACTGTTTATATTACTGCGACGCGCCGGAGACTTTTGCTATCGACAAAGGCCTACGTAACCGGATCACATTCGTCATCAACTAACCAGTTCCGTTCTCGGTAAGTGATATATCAGAAAGATCAAGATTTGAAAGCTGTTGGCAAATTCACAGAGTAGATACGCATTAATTAATTTCGCTAACTTACATTTGCATGGCAGATTGCAGGCATATGGCGCAGATGGCTGAATGAGTGTACAATCTGCTGATCGCGACTTACCTGAAAGAAAAATAAGACATTGTAATTAGTAATTTGAAGAAATATATCAGCATGGTTGACAAACGTTAAAAAGTACTTTTTTTCCTGATTTATTCAGATTAAAAGCGTAATAAATGTCAGATTTGAAATGTGTTTATTAATATATCCTGCGTATCAAATATCTCTCGCGTGTAATATCACATCAGATTACATTATCAACGGTACGCAAGTCGGACATACACGTGTCACAAGAAGCTAACCACTATTTTCCTAGCGTGTCACGGCAATAATACATGGAACAATTTCGCTCGTCATTGTTTTCCATACGCTTATTATCTAGCAACATTCATTATCATTCACAATATGTCCGTATAAATATCACATCGGATCTGATAATAACTTTTCTACAACTGCGTTAAAAAAATTCACCATGTTATCGACTAGAATCTCGTGTCACGACGGCCTATTATATTTCGTTGCATCGCTAAGCTTGCGATGGTGACATAATTCACGATAACATAAACGATGATGTGTCATGGATCTCTTGTGATAAACTTTTCCTTGTGCACATATATTTCAAAATATGTTACTCCTATTCATTTGTAGTTAAAAAGAAGGTCGATAATTTGAAAGTTATTGCTTCCGGTCCAATAAAATATTTAAATGTATTTACATTCGATAATATCTCTTATCTTGTTATTTTAGGAAAAGCTCGGTCGCAAAAGAAATGGGCGATATCACTAAATAAACTGTCAAATATTAAACGCATCATAATCGATGTGTTCTTTTCTGGTCATAGCTTGTATCTGGGGCACACCGGAAGCGGGAATCATTGTCTCGAGTAGTAAAAAGAGGGAGCAGCTAAGAAAGCGAACGAAGACGAAGAGGGGAATGAAAGAACAGGACAGACGACGATGATTGTAGAAAAGACAAAGAGGATAAGAGGTTCAAGACGAGCAACAGTGTTTACCCTTGATGGTCGGCGAACGCTGATTCCAGAAACCATACCACGATTATATCTCGTCCGTTCAGTCTTTCTTGCCTGCGTCGGCGCGTTTCACCGATGTTCCTCTTTCCGTGCCTCTTTCCCACCGCCTTGCTTTTTCTCTCTCCCTTTCTCTCGAAAGTGCGATAAGTCGCTTTTACAACACGCTCACTTCTCTTTTCTAAACAGGAATGTGACGTTGTTCTTTATGCGTAAGGACGGGGCCAAACAAAACCGTTTCCACGGAGACCCGTTGATATCTCGAAAGATAAAATGCATTCTACAGAAAGAAAATCCCGATAAAAGACAAGGGACAAATTGACCATCATAGGTTCAAAGGAATGTCAACCGACCGAAGGCATCGAGCGATTTTACATTTGTAAATTTTCGGAGCAATCGTTCGGCATTTGCAATCGACTCGAAATTTTGTTTCGCGAGGGGATCGCGAAACATTTTAAACTGCATCTGTCGAAAAGCAGAGCAGCTGGTTGCAGTAGCAGTGGAAATCGAATTATCTCGCAAAGCGGAATCGAAGCGCCGCGAAATATCGAGAGATCGACGGTCTCTCGCCCCGACGGCGTTGAGAGATCTTCTCGGATAGCCCGGAGGTTCGATTTATCGGCGAAGGGATGAATCCGAGTGCAGGAGCGCGTAAACGAGCGGGGCGGGCGACGCTTGCATAAAGCAGTGGAAAATTCGGGTTGAAACCTGTGAAAGCGGGGAAAGAAGATCAATAAAGTGGTGTGCCATACTGTCGGTGCCGCCGGTGTGTCGTTGTAGTAGCGGGTGGCTCACGCTGGTGTGTATTATTAAGCGAAGAGGTGTGGAGCCGGAGAGAGAAATGGGAGAGGCGAGAGAGAGAGAGATGAGAGAAAAGCGAAGAAGAGGAAAAAAGATGGCAAACGAACTGCAGAGAAGGAGAGAAAGAGAAAAGGACTGTTTGCTGAAAAAAAAGCGAAAGAGCAAAAGAATGACGATACGAAGCCAGGTGGAGGGACAAGGAAGCCGATGGAAAATGTGGAACAGACGTAATAAAAACTTGCGGCAGAAAAAAGGGAGTGAGAGAGAGAAAGAGAGAGAAGATTACTGGAGTAACATCGTGTATCAACCGATATCAACCTGCAGGGATCCTAAGATAAACTTGACGTTGTCTTGAATGTAATTCATAGATTCCATCTCTAGATTGAAATCTGATATTTGAGCGAGAAGTTTGGCCCCGTCAAAATATTTTATCCAAACTTTGCTAAAAAATGACACAATATTTAATATAACAGATAATATTTCACGCAAGAAGAGAGTGAAACATTTTTTGCGACTATTTGGCACAGCGAAATGCTCGATTGCGAACTTCGATCTCCGTGGCTTGACTTCTGAAACGGCCGAATAACAGAGTTTCGCCGCGAAATAATCGCATCGGCGCAACCGGGCCGGAAGGTAACGACATCGGACGGCACTAACGTCGATCGCGGTGTACGGTCTACTTAGCAATGCACTTTTCTGCATGGTTTACACGCAAAATCGGCGCAGCGCAAAACGAGGCAGATTAGAAATTCGTTCCACATAGTTATATCCGCGGAAACGCGCGGCTCGCGCGGGAGCAACATCCCCGATTTCACGCGTTTTTGTCCGGTGACGGGCTCTGACCGTGCACGGCCCAGCGCGTATAATATAATTTTGGATTGATCTAACGTTTCTTTTCCTTTTTAAGACGTCGACACGAACGAGCACGGGCGACTCGCGAAGCGCACTGAGCACCACTGGCCGCCGAGGTGCTGCGTTTCCCCTTTATGCAGCCAATGGCGTAACCGCTTGCGGTATCAACGTAGCGGCAGAATCGACAACGTCTATTAAGAGCGTAAATCTCGTAGCTTTTAGTGCGCCATGAAAGGTACGCACTGCGTCTACACGTCGTTCTGCAGATTTACGCCATCCCGTTGTCGCGCTATTATGGCGTAAAGCGACATTGTTTCATTAGGTATCTCCTCGTCGTAAATATTATATTTAAGTAGCGCATAATCAGTCTTGAATTTAAGAGCCATTCGTATGACATGCTTTCTTTATATGAATAAACTTTCACGTCTTTGAATTCCGCGGCTATTATATCGCCGACTATTTTCCATCGAACCGACCTCGCCGCGAATCACCCCTCGATAACCCGCGCTGATGTGCTCGGCGGCACAAGTTGTACTCTATAGCCCTTCGTCAACTTCTCGCGCAAGACTCGTTTCTCGCTAACAGAAGGGGAAGAAAGGGAATACATTTCACGCAGAGAAGCTTTCATGCGTTGCCGGCGTCAGTGCTTTTCCTTCCTTCCTTCGCACAGAAAATCCATAAGCCAGCACCGGGCACTTTCTCGAAGGTTGCGATCTTGTTAATTTCCGTAATAGCTGTGACTGATTTATCAATTCCGAGTCTTTTAAACCAAATTTACGCTAAACATAATATTTCCCCACTGTGGGACGTGTTAAGTCTCGGAAAGACTTAATCTGATGGAAAAATTAAGGCTCTCCTTTTTATTTCTATTCCGGCGTAAAGTGCGGAAAAGACGGCCGCGAATTTCTACATTAATTCAGACTGACGTTCCGAGACGACTGCACTACAGTGTAAATTAGTCGCCTTTCATTCGCGCGCAAATTTCATGGCGATCGTATAGCGACGATTAATACTTTCTTTCCTACTTTCCTTGCCGCGAGCATCTAGCGATAGATTCAGTTGCTCGAGAGTTTCGCCAACGGTTTTACGAACTTGCGCGTTTCCGTTATTCCAATTTATTATTACGCTGCACAAAGACTTATTGATGCAGGACGATAGTTCTAAACGGTACTCGCAAGAAATGCGGCTCTTGATGCGAGAAATGTTCGGTAAGATGTTTCAAAATTCGATGTAATGCAAGAAGTATTATAATTGATAATAAACTGAGAAAGTATAGTCACTTTCTCAGTTACCGCCGAAAATTCACGCTATTGTTTAATATTACAAGTTTTACGGCGCTGCGAGGCATCTACTTATTCTGCTCCATTGTTCACGCTAAGATGTAAGTGTGTATATCGATACGCTACTTTAAGAATTAACGCTATATTCCGACAGGGGTAGGCTTTTTCGGATGCGGCTCAAGATTTAATTGCAATTCCTGAAAATTTCTTCTTATCGATGACGAATTCGAATGTATGTTTCCCGGTGAATGAAAGCAGTATTCTCGAAAATGTTCCACCGCCAGGAAGTTAAACTGGGACATCGCGCGTCTATCTCCCTTTCGCGGCGGCATCGGCGCGCATCGCTCGTTCGTTCGTTAATCCCAGAGCGTCGCGACTACTTTGCAGGAGGTTACCCTCCTTCCGTCGTCGTCCTGATGCCGGTGGTAGCGTCCTTCTTTCGTACCCTCGCGCGCTGCTTGTCAGTGGTGGCGTGGGTGGCAGAGGGCGGGTGGAAGAGAGGTACCACCATGTTATGTAGCCCCACCACCGACTCCGTCCTGACCAACCGGCTGTTTACTGTTTGGCCTCCCGGGATATCGATCCCAGTGGCGTAAGAACCCGCAACCCAGGGCTACCCGACCAGGGAGAGAGAAAGAGAGACAGGGAGAGCGCGCAAAAGCAAGAGGGAGAAAGGGAGAGAGAGGAGAGATCGGCACGCGGTGGGTTTCGGCCGCGGGCGGTTGGCAACCGACTCTAGTGTTGATACAGCACGATTCCGACACCGCCTCCTTACCCTCGGACTCGGCTGGCACTCAGGTAAATTGACTTCGACTGAGTAGCACCCGTCTTTAATTGAAGATACGCTTCGGCACGGGCGAAGCAACGCAGCGAAATCGCGAACCGAATTCGGCAAGCCGTGAGATAACGCGAGGAATAAGTACCTTTCTGGAAAATCGGTGTTATTAAACGGTACGGCTAACAGTTTTTGTAAAAATTATCGATCGTTCAGTTTTAAGTAGATTGCAAAAAAAAAATCTAGACTTCACTTTATATGCATAGATTCTCTTGTACGACATTACGTAGTATAATCATTAATCGCTCTCGTTCGGAACGAGAAAGGAGACCCCTTCACGGCCATTTTACCGAGACGATCGGCAG